CTCTGGATTGGATACGGTCCTGCCTACTACCCTCCACAATAAAAGGCATGTGTGGACTGAGTGAGTGTGCAAGAAAGGGACTAACGCGGACAACTTTTTTTTTTTTCATACAGTACTTGTTTGATTTCTGATGATAATATTTTGTGCTGAAATGCCAACAGACTACCACAGTCCGTAGTGGCCCCCGCCACATAAGGACATTTAAAAACCTCAGTGTTTTATCATATGCAGACACCCCAGAATGATGTTCAAGCAAATTAATGCAGAGAAGCAAAATTTAAAAAATAGAATAAGTTAGAAAGTCATATCATACTTTGTCATTGTATATGTGCAGTGAGATTGATACAGCCCTTCTCGGTGAATGGTGAAAACAATAAGTAAAGCGCCACAAATTCTGCCTAGCACCAGTTCCCATGGTGCATGTATGATGTGAAGAAGAAAAAAAAATCCACAGAAATGAAAATCAGCAGTTTAATGCAGGCCCCTCCAGTAGGTGGGCAGTGTTTTAATTGAAATTTGACAATGACTCACAGCAAGTGATTTGTCGAAGGAGAAATTGGTATTATAGAATGTGGTAAAGTACTTTTCCCGGTGTGTATCTGACCTGCAGTGTATCTAAAAAGTCAACACACACCTGTTCAAATACCCGGATTTTGTGGATGACAAAATTAGACCAAGATAAATGACTTAAAAACTTATTTTTCATTAAAAAAAAATATATATATACAATTAATGTTAGAGAGGAAATAAAAATAAGCAATTGACATCATGTGTTTGCATAAGTGTGTACACCTTGCAATAACTGCAATGTTACAATGTTCAGCATTAACACAATCACATTCAGCCTTGTGTTAAATGTGAGTGAGCACACACCTGCCAGCATTTATATTGCCTGTGATTAGCCCCAGTTAAAGTTAGGGGTTTTTGTCGGCTTTTCCTGTGGTTTTTTTTTTTTTTTTTTTTTGCTTAGCTCTCTAGCTGGAGGTTTTGTGCTTACAACCGACTTCTACTTCAAACTGTTCATAATTCCTTCCATCTGATCTAAGACTAGTTCCAGCTGAAGACAAACAACCTCAAAGCATAATGCTGCTATGACCGTGCTGCACTGTAGACAGACCCTTTGGAATTATGGCCAAAAAGTTTTATCTTTGTTTCATTGGATGATGACACATTTCCCACATGTGAGATTTTGAGAATATGCAACGAGGCCTCTGCTCCAAAGTAAAAACAAACGTCAGGAAAAACTTAATAAAATAACATCTGAAATTTATTTGATCTTAATCAGAGTGACTTCAAATGGTGGCAGGTGTGTGCCGACTCCCAGTTAACAATGAGCTTGAATGTGATTTGATTCATTCTGAATTCAGCCCAGTTATAAGATGTGCATACTTCTGCAACCACATTGTTTAAGTTTATTTTTTACCTCCCCTCTTGATTAAAAAAAAAATAAAAAATCTAATTAAGTCGTACAGGTCATAGGTCACGTTAAAGGTGGACAAAGTTTTTAAATGATTGAGTTTGGTCTCATTTTCTTCTCATTGTTTAGTTGGCTTGCCATTTTTTTTATGTCTGGAAAACACACATACACCATGCCCTTCTATATGTACGTTTTAGCATGAAGGACTGGGGCTATGTCCCTCAGAAGTTCAAAGAGCGCTGTTCTTTCTATGAAGCATATGGCATCCAGTGACCATGGCTTTGTGTGACTATTGACACCAGAGGGAGGATGCGAGTGTGTGCGGCTGTTCGGGGCCACAGGACAGCCTAGTGGCAACAAAAGACAGGCCCTAAGCCTGTCTCCTGTGATTTTCCAACTCAGCGAAAAAGCTTTTGTGGCAGTGGAAAAAAAGTTAAGTTAAAAAGCTCACCATGGTATGTGCTAACAACCACCCGCCGCTTGTGTAATACAAGCAAATACTTTTTGAGCGGTCACAGTCGCAGTCTTTGAGAGTCAAAACATCCCGCGATTGCCCCTAAGCGCTGGCCCAGTGACCGCTTCCGCCTGCTGCCGCACGTGGTCATTCCAAATGTGTCGCATGACTCACACCATTGTGTGAAGGCCGTCATAGTCCAGAACATCTTAAACTGATTTCACGCAAACACAAGTTGTTTTCTCTGCGTTTTGGCCTTATTCTATCATCTACATGCCAATTAAGATTTACAGACTTTTTTGAAAAACTCACCACGAGATGATTGTCAGATACAGTACGCGATGAAGTCTTGAGTCGGTTACGTTTGTTTGAAATTAGTTTTTTTGTCATTTTTTAACAGATAAAACCTAGGTCAACTTGTATCAGAATGATTGAAGTATGGCGAAAAAAAGGAGCAGCTCTTGAACAAAAACATTAGAGATGATGTGTCGAACACGGACGGTGAAGGCAATATTATGGAAAGTGTGTGTGCAGTATAAGCACTACAACTCAAGACTTTTGGATGGCAAAGTAATAGATTATTCATAAATGAAAAACTCAGCGGGCGCCACGGTAGTCAACTGGTTAGTACGTTGGCCTCGCAGTGCAGCGGTGCAGGGGTTGATTCCGGCTCCGGCCTTCTTGTTTGGAGTTTGCATGTTCTCCCCGTGCCTGCGTGGGTTTTCTCCAGGTACTCCGGTTTCCTCGCACATGCCAAAAACATGCATGGCAGGTTAATGGAACACTCTAAATTGTCCCATGGTGTGAGTGTTAGAACGAATGGTTGTTCGTCTTTGTGTGCCCTGGCAACCTACTGCCCAAAGACAGCTGGGATAGCCTCCAGCATGACCGTGACCCTTGTGAGGATAAGCAGATTAGAAAATGGATGGATGGATGGAAAAACTCACTTGCCTGATTTCAAGCCAACAGACTCAAGCATGTTCTCTTCACTCACTGAACTCAGAAAAGAAGCAATGCTTAGCCTCAAACAAGCAGCCCTTGATTACAATGGATTTTTTTACCCAAGTGAAAAATAGGATTACACGGTGTTTTTTATAAATATGCAATGGTCCAAATAGTTTGAAGCAAGTGAAACTGTTGACTTTCTACATGAAGTGGCTGTAATTTTAAAATGGTCACTGCCATGTTTTGTGAAACCTCTTACCATACATTAAAGCAATCCATCATGGAGATTTACGGAGGCAACAAATAAACATTTGTCACCGCCCAAATGTTGTGGGCCTATGCGTGCATTTTGTTCATCCAAATTTTTATTCATCCAAGTATTTATAACACTTCAAGTCAAATTACTTTGTTTGATGAATAATTCTACACACCCAGTGGTCACCAAATGACATGTATATGCACATGGACACATTAAGACACATATACAGACGCATACACATACGCACATCATAGTCAGACAGGGGCCACCGGCACTAAATCCAGACTGTGGTTTCCCTCTCCAGCTATAAATATCCCTCCGCTTTAAACAAGATCTCACACACACACACACACACACACACACACACACACACACACACAGACGCACAGTTGCACACACACACACAGATATTCAAGACATTCTTCAGACAAAACTTTCTTTGAGAAATCTGTCAAGACACATAACTAACAAAATTATAAAGTGATGTCTGTGTCATACCCACGCACATTCACACACATACACGCAAAGAGATCACTCTGGGTCTTGCAAATTGGTCTATGATTATGGGGTGTATCTTTGTCTCATTTAGTGGTTCCACAAGGAGACAGTCTTCTGCCCCGCTACACACAAACATGCGCACAGACACACACAAACACATACCATGACACTATCACTTGGCAACAAGAAATCCCTCTCGTATTTGTTGGATTGTCTTGACTCAAGCCTAAAATATCTCATGGGAAATAAATTGTTTCCATTTCTCACATACGTTTTTCTCCATGCATCAACGGGACTGACTTCTATGACGTCCTGCGATTACACTTTCGGCAAACATGAAGACACGCATTCCAACACTGATGTACTAATATTTCCTCTTTTATTTTGGAAAAATATTGCGCTTTTTTTCCAGCAAACAAAAATGACAGGCTCTGTACAGACATACAATTTTTCTTTTAAATACAACACAGTCACAGTGGTCTCAAGTGCCTAACACATACATACACTCATACATACATACATACATACATACATACATACATACATACATACATACATACATACATACATACATACATACATACATACGTTATCTGTCAAATAAAAAAACAAAACAATCATACTTAAATTATAACACAAAATATCACACCAAATTGGAACACAAATAATAATTAAATTAAAAGAACATCTTTGTTTCAATAATAAAAAATACAATTTAAAAACATGAATCGCACAAGGCTAACCAATGATGAGCAGGCAAGGGCGATCGATGGTGGCTAAATGATGACTGGCGAACAGTTGGAAGACGCAAATGACCTTGCCTGTGCTCACACTCTCTCATCAACGCAAGTTACACACATGCACCCCCGTAGTGCAAGGAGGTCTTGGCAGTTCCAACGACTCCTTCATAGTTTGACATAGACGCACAACAGCGTCAGAGGTTGGGTCAAACAACTCTATAGTGGTAGTAAAATAACCCATGAGCTGTGTTTGATTATTTTCAGTGATTTTTTTTTTTTTGCATGTCAAATTCAGCTTGTAATATCAAGGAATATTTTGCCAAAATTATTGCCCTGTGTATCCAAAGCTTCAGGGTCAGGGGCCAGTATGGCCCAACAGGATCCATGTTGGATCGATTTGCAGTCACTACTGGAGTCTTCACTTCTGTATGTTTCTGCTGAGAACCAGCTCAGCCGACACAGCCTGTCAGTGCTGCAGACTTAAAGATGTGTAGTCGGACCACTTGTGTTCTGAAAAAAAAAATCTATGATCTTTTCGGAAATTGGCTCCAGTGCCTTGGAAAGACTTCCACCCTTTGCCATGTCTACACTCTGTCCTCTGCAGCACTGTACAGAACATGCACTGTCACCTATGACAACTTTGACACTGTGCTTTAATAACGATAGCACATAGCACATTACTACAACTCATAAGCTCTCAGTACTCCAAAGGTACCACTCTGTTCATTCGATCAGTACTCCACGGTACTACTATTTCATCATCCAGGCCAACGCTCCCTTGGATCCACCTCGATGCCAATACTGTATTAGATATGAAGCTCTTCCATTGTCCTTCAGCAAAAGTCATTGGATAGCATGAGTCCATCATTGTTTCAAATTTGAACAAGGCATGCGCTACTTCAGGTGCTTGGAAGATACTTTGTAGGGCTGAGCATCAAGTATGAAAGCGACATCCTCATTTGAGGTCATCATTGTCCAAAATTCACTGACTCTGCATTGGTTCAGTGTCACCTTGGCTCCAGGATCCTTCGGTAAATTCCAGGGAACAGCAGCAAACCGCAGGAGTAAAACCTCCCGGAGACAAGCTGAGCTGTACTGCTCAGGGTTAGCGAGGACCACCATCGCCCAGAGGGATCGGGTTGGAACTTGATCATGATGAGTATCATACCTGAAAGACAAATGACATCTTTACAAATGCACTCCATTTCATGACAAATCAATGCCGGTAGAAGTTCTGTCTACTCAGTACGCAAGAAATTATGTCTCACCTCTGTCGCGATTAAGCACTCGTCTTTCTGGTCTGACATGACGTACACAGACTGGTATTTGGTGTCTGTGGCGCACTGGTACTTGCTCTCACCACTGGCGCTGCAGTGATATTCAACATCACAGCTTGACGGGTATTTGACATCACTGGATGATTGGGATTTAAGATCACTGGCGGCATGTTGCTTCAGATCGTAGGATGATGGATACATGGTTTCGCTGCAGCTTGGTGACTCTTCCACTTGTTTCGCTTCTGATACATCACTACATGACAGAGACGGAACGGCATTGGGAACTCAACTCAATGAATATAATTTCTGAGCATGGGTTTATAATATGTTTGACCACCATGTACCTGTTCTGTCTTTTCCTGCATATTTCCTCAGTATCAGACTCTCCCAGCAGCTCACACTTCACCTCTGGCACGTCATGGTCCTCCTGTTTGCACAGTGACACCTCCTCAGGCCGCAACTCGTGAACGAGGTTATACTCCACACTGGAGTAGCGAGACTTGAAGCCTTGCTTCTCTGATCCACCAAGCCCATTCAGCCCGCTGGTCCCACTCAGACCACCAAGTGAACCAGCCAGTTCAGAATGGTAATCTGCCTTTTTGTTGGTGTTTTTAATGGATGTTGTCATGACAGTGACCAGCTCCTTGTCACTGCGGAGGCAATTGTTGGTGGTCGTCAGGTTGTTCATTGTTTCGTGGCTGTCGCTTCGAACGCTGTCGCTGCGATGACTGTGCCGCTCCTGTAGTTTGACCCGAGCGTAGACCACCAACACAGAGCAACCGATGAGAATCACCAGAACTAGGAAGACGCCAGCGCACACGGCAGTCCAGGGAAAGCCGCTGTCGTCGTTGTCGTCATCGTCAAAACTTTCGCTTTCCAGTGAGGAATATCGCCGGTCCGGTCCATCCACCACCGGCTGACCCTTGGGAACTTCTGGTAAGAGGAACTGGCAGTTGTGCCCGCCGTAGTCTGGCAAGCAGGCGCACACATAGCGACCACCGCGCTCATGGCAAGTGGCTCCATTGTGGCAAGGATTGTGAGCACAGCGGGAGATGGGGGAACTGCAGTTTTTGCCAGTATACCCTGCACAAGAAACCAGTCTTAGGAGTCTGCTTGTGTGTATGGTGTACTCTAAAACAAGAAAACTAAGTCATTTTGAATATGAAATCATACCTGGTGGGCAGGTGCATGTGTAGCCATTTACTCCCTCCTGGCATGTCCCACCATTCTGACAAGGAAAAGACAGACAATGTCCAGAGAGGCCACTGCTACTGTCCTCACAGTTGGTACCAGAAAAGCCTTCAGTACACTGACAGAGGTACGAGTTCACTAAATCCACACATTCTGCTCCTGCAGAGGGAAAAGTAGTACGAAGTCAGCGTGGAAATCACTGATATTTGACATGTCGGTGTTGGCGTTCGTGATGTTGCTGCACTAACAAGCAAGCAGAGGAATGCCTACCATTCAAGCAGGGGTTGGATGAGCAGTGGTCAATTTTTTTTTCACAATTGAATCCAGCGTATCCCATGGGGCACTGACAGAAGTAGCCCCCCTCCGGGTTGTCGACACAGCGTCCAGCATTGAAGCAAGGCCCATCCGCACAGCTACTGGCACTCAACTCACAGTTTTTGCCATAGAAACCAAGTGGACAGGTGCACTGATAGCTTCCGTCTTGGTCCTATATTAGAAAGGAGGTAAATGATTATCGGTTTTCTTGTTTCAGTGAACATTTTTATTGACAGTTGTCTCTTATACTTACGGAGCAGCTGCCACCATTGCGACAGGGGTTTCCAGAACATTCATTGACCTCAATCTCACAGCTGGCACCTGTATAGCCAGGTGGACAGGAGCATGTGTAGCTGCCCTGGCCAGTGTTGGTACATGTGGCACCATTGAGACATGGCTTGTGGTGTGTACAGTAGTTGAGATCTGAAAACAGCAAGAAAAAAGGTATCAAAGCAATATTTTTTTTTGTTGTTGAAAGTTTCATCTTTTGGCACGCAAGGAACAATATTGCAACTGAATGCAAAAATCCAAGAGACTCACCCTGGTTGCAGAAGAGGCCGCCCCATCCCTCCTGGCAGTTGCACTGCCAGGGTTGTTGGCACGTACCATGGAGGCAGCCCGGGTAACGGATACAGTCATCACAGTAACGACCACTGAATCCCACGCGGCACCTAGAAGCCATCATGAATCAAATGCCGTTAGTAACAAAGCCAAGACAAGCCGAGTGTGAGTGTCTGTTAAAAATGGGGGGACAAGTCATTTCTCAACATACTTGCATTCACCAGGTTTCTCACAGAAGCCGTGATCTTCATCGCAGCCAGGGAGACAAATTGCTACAGAAAGGAAAAACAAAGCAAAAAGGTAAGTAAAGCAAAATACCTTATCTGTTTGATTGTTCCGTGGGCTGTTTTGTGGCTTTGCCACCATTTCCTTTACCTGTTCACCTGTCTCTCAGTCTTTCATTCTATACTTTGAGCCACTGATAGGAGACCGATAAAAACACAGCTGTCACAGGGCAAAACAGTCAAATAGAGCAATTAGGGTCAGGAGGCCAGTCCTGATAAAGACCACTCACTGCCGAGTATTAGTTTAGACTGTGCTGCACAATTTGCTGGACTGTTTACCTTCAAGACTTTGCTGCTATGGTGGCTTTGGATACCAAAGGATGGGAGTGGTGGGGGGGATTCGGGTTTTAGTGTCCAAAGCCACCATAACAGCCAATGGGCTCTCTCTATTAACACGGTTGCTCTCCAACACAAAAGCATCCCACACAAAGACGCCTTTCTCCCTCTTGACTGTGGCTCTGGAGTCTTTTTTTCCTCACCCTTGCCCACTACCCCCTTCCCAACGACCACCACCTATACAACTGTACACCTATAGCGCCCTCTCTGATCTGTTTCTCCTCCCTTTCCCATCATTCTGTCCTGTTTCTACTTCTTCTCTTCTCGCCTTCAGCATCCCTCCTTTCCTCCTCCCATCCCTGCTCGCACCCAGCCCAGCATCTCCCCCACCTCCACCCCTCTTCCAACCACCTCTCTCCCAGGGCCAGCTGGTCTGTGTGGCGCTAACCACCAGACAGCTGCTCCATTGTCTCCTTGCAGCGAGCAGCTGCCCCCTGAACAACAATACACAGCCCCGCTTGGCCAATCACCGGCTCGGGCCACAACAATGCAGGACCCCCACTTGGCCAATCGGGGAGGAGGTTTGGGGGTGAGGAGGCCCCAGTGGTCTAATGGAAGGCACGCGGCGTGTGAATTACTGAGGAGCCACTGCGGCTCATTAGAATGGAGGCCTCTGGTGCTTGGGGATAACTAACTGACGCCTGTTGCACACGGGCCCTGCATTAGGACACAGGGAAGGGGGGCTTGGGGTCCTTGAACAGCAGCGACAGCCAAGTGACTGTTGGAGTTGCTAACTTTATAAATGACTACTGGATGCCATTTGAAGCCATTATCACAGGTCAAGTTTTGACGCATGATGGAATATGATGTACTTTGCTCTGCGCTACAGAGACAACTATTGGTGAATTTTAATATTAGGTAAATTAGTAACAGTAACAGGAGGAATATCACTGCACCAATTATATCCCAAGCAGGCCGGATGTCAACAAATCAATCGAGACTTACGTTCAGTGCAGTACTGTCCCTTCCAGCCAGAGTTGCAAATGATCTCGCCACGCTCTCCACAGGTGAAGTGTCCAAAGGCATCGTCTCGGGGCCGACAGAACACGGAGCAGCCCTCGCCATAATAATGCTCGTCACACAGGAAGCGGTAGGAGTAACGTAGCTCCGTCCTGCCTGCTGTCTGCATGTCTTTGGACCATTCCTCTCCAACTGTTAGGTGACGCTGAGTGGTGATGCGGCTGATGAGGTGCTCTGGGTTGTCTGTAAAAGTCACCCAGACACGGCAACTCATTGGTCATTTGTTTTTCATGCACTTTATTCTGCAGAGTATGACACTGTCATCGGGATTCAAAACCCATCAGTTGTTTTTGCATGGGTACATATCTGCGTTTTACACAGTGACCAGCACATTTTCCCTAATCGCCACACGTCTGAGCTGTGGGCAGTTAGTCATCATCAGTGTTATCATTATGTGATAAGATAAGACTTGCAGGTGACACCTGCCCAAAGTGTGTCCTTTATCTCACATCTTGTTACAGCCACCTTTATGTTTGCTTTACTAATGCAACAGCCATTATTATAACTCCAACCCTTCATTCTTTGTTCACATCCATTTGAGCTCAGAATGAAGTTATTAAATCAGATAACAAGTTCCATGTTATTATTTTGAGCTTCAATCACTTGAATTAGGTGAAAAAATGTCATTAAAGAGGAAAACATTGCCACAATTAGCCTGCTGTCTTGTCTTCAGGTTACACTGCTGTTTCTCTGCCTGCCACCCACCTGTTGCCAGGTCGTCCAGGGAGTCTGTGTGCAGAGCCTCAATGATCAGTGAAAATGTCCCCTGGGGGAGAAAAAAAAGAGAGACACGGAGAGTCAACAGCTGCTCAGCCTGCAGAGCCGCATGAGGAAGGGGGGAGGGGGGAGGGACTGGCAATAGGGACGCCTCCCAATAAACTACATAGCCTCATTGAAACGCTCTTGATTCGGATCCTAATAAGGCTCACGACGACCTGCTTCCCTTTCACGACCCTGCTACTATCGCACCAGGACTCCGTCGCGAAGCAAACGAGGCGGAATTTCACGCTGCGCTGCCAATGATGTGCCAACTCGGAGGATGTTAAATTTCCCACCACGCCTGGTCGGAGAGAGGCGTTTGGTGAAAACACCACCCGATCGAATCCCAACCCCCATGCGCCCGCGACACCCCCCAACACCCCCCTAACCCCACATACACATACACTCTACTACAATAGAGCTTCTCACACACTGCTGACAAAGACCCTCACAATTTGGGGAGCATCTGTTGTGTTTTATAACTTTGAGAGTCAATGTGCTCCCATGGAACAAGACGATAAAATTTACAAATCGCTCCATTTAAGTTCGCAGCTGTGAGTTACATTCGGAAACAACACATTTTTAAACATGACAAATATTACGATTTCTTGAGTCACTCACCGGCCATGTGAAGCCGAAATTGAAGCGGATCGGGTTGGTGAAGGTGTCCGCGTTCGTTTCAGGGACCTGGAAGGAGTTGGAGCCCAGAACTGGGGTCACCGCACCGCCGTACGTGCAGGGGGGCTCAGGAGACACGTTGGCCTGGTAGTGCTTTAGACAGATCCGGAAGAAAGTCTTGCACTCGCACTGCTGGTGGCCCAGCTGATGAGCCGAACCGCCGCCGCCGCTGGGGCAACAATTGGCGTTGCCCGACACCCCTTTTTTGTTTAGAAATTCTTGTAGCTTGAGCTCAAACACCCCCGAGCACAAAACCTAAAGTCGTAGCATACACACATAGGTGATATTAGAAACAAGCAGGCAAACGATCATAAGGCTGCTGTCATTTAGGTGGGTTAACACTGAATTAAAATCTACAGATAATCGTTGAGTAAAAACGAAGCCATTGAGCGCCGTGCCGTTAAATTAATGCTACAATACCTGGCAGGTGAAAAGGGAGAGCGTGACAACTAAGGTCAGACACAGGCGTCCCATTGTGTTGACAGCCCGTTCAAAACAATCGCTCAAAGTTCCACAGGTTGGTGCAGCTCAACTCAAAAAAACATGGAGAAAGTTTGATGGGCTCGTCCTTAAATCAGAATTCACTTTCCTTATGATTGTCTTCTCTTCTCCGAGACAAGCCTCTTTTTTATTTAGGATCTTTTTGTCAATAAATAATCCGCAGCAGAATGATCCTTGGGGGAAATCCCTGTATGAAATAATTCCAAATAATCTTGCGCAAAAAAAGGTGGGCGTCCTTGTTGTTTTCTCCCTCTTGATTGATGAAATACGGGTCCGAGCGAGGAAAACAAGTTTGCCTCGTTCTCACTCGGGTTGACTGTGCGTGTGTCTGATGGCTCGACGCTCCTGTACAGGCTTTTATATCAGACCAGAACGCGCAGGGTAATAAGATGCAAATAAGCCCCTCTGCTCCTCTTCTTCCCCTCCCTCCACCACCACAAGTCCGCCCCGGGGCCATCACAAAAAAGTGGGGTTGTGGGGGGTGCACTACACACACAACTTTTTTTTTTCTAGGCCCACCCCCTCCTCGCTCTTGTCTCTTTCTCTCAAAGGGACACACCAAATGGCTATAGAGAGCTGTTAAATGTACAACAACCCCTCGCTTCCCCTCCTGATACCCCAACCCTTCTCCTTTTACATTCCGACAATTTTTTGAACCCACGAAACTATCGCAGCACTGAGCTGAACCGCAGGAAGGGCCGATCGCGGACCTCGAATTATTGTTATACTGCACGTGAAGTCAGCCCGGCACACCCCCGCGAGCGAAAGCTCATCGTCCAAGCGTTCACCTCGGACCATCTGCCGAGCTACATTCCTTTAGTGTAAGACCTGGTGCGGCTTTCACATGTTCACACTCCACATGGCCTCTTCTAATGGGCTTATCTTTCATTTGTGGCCGCTCGATGCACAACTTTACACCTCGTCAAGGCCATTCATACTACTGACTGATGACGCATTGAGGATTTTTATTCCGGTAACCAATGAAATGCCTAAACACGCTCCCCAAAAGTGCGCAAATGTGCATCCAAACAAGTAGGGCACGCAAGTCATCTTCTGTGTAGGACTGATTCTCTTTGGGTGCAGGCAGTAAAAAGAGACTTGGTGGTGTGTCACTCGCGTGGCTGTCATTAAGGAACTTTGAGGGGGGGAAAGAGGAGCGTGTGTGTGTGTGTGTGTGTGTGTGTGTGTGTGTGTGTGTGTGTGTGTGTGTGCGCGCGCGCGCGTGCGTGCGTGCGTGTGTGTGTGTGTGTGTGTGTAGAGGGGGCACATACAGGGAGTAAAGTTTTTCTCTTTGTGCTTTCAGCTGTATGGTAATTGGGCCAGCAGCACCTGCTCTCCCACAATAATACAACACGAGAGAGAGAGAGAGAGAGAGAGAGAGAGAGAGAGAGAGAGAGAGAGAGAGAGAGAGAGAGAGTCTGATCAGGTTTGATAATATCACCGTTCTGCATGCAATCACATCACAGGACCCAATGCAAATCCCTACACTGGATTTGGGATGTGCATGTGCGTGTTTCCTCAGAGAATTTGCACGTGTTTGCATGATGTTAATAAGAGCTTATGGCAGCCATTTTCACCAAAAACCTGATTTTAACATGAGTTATACTGCTTTATGGATCATCTAATGGGGTTTACTACACTTATAATTGATCTTGCATTCAACCAGTGCCAAGCCTAATAAATGTCACCAAGCTTTTTCATAGCCTTGCACTTAGACTCACTGTCAATACAGTCCTTTTTGACTATATTAGAAAACCAGTATCATAAATTCTGCCTTTTAAGATCACACAGTGTAATTTGGGTGGCATTTTATTTCGTATTTTTAAATCATCTTTTTATTTTTGACTATGTGTAAATTTAGTTTCCTGCTCTTAATTGTGAATGCATACTTGATGGTTTGAGATGCTGCTGAAATTAAGTGCTGCTTGACGAGCCTATACAGTATTGCGTTCATGTATGTGACGTCACTGAAGGCCTAAGGTTGAAATGCACGGCCTGCCACTGAATACAATAGAGCTTTATTTATATAGCACTTTTACAACAACTGCAAAAATAACAAAGCGCTTTACAGAACATGTAACATAAACTGACAACAATAACAGACATTGGAGAACATGCTTCCTGCTCACTGTAAACCTCATAATGATTTGCATTTCAACATATTACGGTAGCCTGAATAACACTAAATACATACATAATACTAAGTTGTTCTGTAAATTATCTCAACAATTTAGAACTATACAGTTCTCAATATTTGTACCTTTTTTCAGCAGTTATCTTTGAACATTCATAATGTATTCTGAAACAATTTCTGAATTCACTGAACGGTCTTTAATTGTATCCACGTGTACAGATTGCACCAGATGTATTTTGCTAGTTTTGCAAGTTGGCTTGTTCTGATCAGAGGGATGAAAAATGCTGGCTTTATTGTAGGCCAGCTAGCTGACCCTTTGATGCAAATTTGAAATCTGACTGGCCAAACAATCTCACCGCTTGTGATTTAAATTACATTAATCAGCGCCTCTGATTCTAAAGGCTGCAGGTGGATTACAATGCTATGGAAACATATACCTGTACAGGCTGAAGTCCATCCATCCATCTATTATCCATACCGCTTACCCTCACAAGGGTTGCGGGCATGCTAGAGCCTATCCCAGCTGTCTTCGGGTAGTAGGCGGGGTACACCCTAAACTGGATGCCAGCCAATCGCAGGGCACACATACAGACAAACAGCCATTCAGACTCACGATCACACCTCGGGACAATCTAGAGTGTTCAATTAACCTACCATGTTTATGGAATGTGGGAGGAAACCGGAGTAGCAAGAGAAAACCCATGCAGGCACGCGGAGAACATGAAAACTCCACACAGGAAAGCCAGAGCCTTCTGTACTGTCAGGCGGATGTGTTAACCAATCAGCCACTGTGCCACCAGGCTAAAATCTTTTTGTACAAAAAGTGTGACAGCCATATACAGGACTGGAAGTTGTTGGTAATATATTGACATAATATCACGGGAAAAAATATATAATTTAGTTTGTAAATATAAGACAATGCTTGGTTTTTAGGGCACCAGAGAAGACATTGCTGGCCCCCGATGGCTCGCCGCTGCCTCATAAAAATAAGATTGATTTGTCTAAAAGAGGTTCTGTTTTTTTCTGCGATCCATTTTAGACCCCACTTAAATTGCCCAAAATGGTTCCTTTTCTTAGTTCTTACCATTGCTCAAGGCAAATAAGCAACAATGTGCTTGTAATGTGCCCTTTCATGCGACTTCAGGGGCCTTTAACCTTGAGCTTTCACACCATTATCCTTGCCTGACACGGTGCTTCCAAGCAGATACCAGTGTGTGTTTAGCTATATAGGACACTGATTTCATTTAACCAGTTGATTTCGGCCTGCAGCATTGTGGAGCGTCTCAAAGGGTTACAAAGCTCCGATGTGGCCTGTCGTCAAATCTCTCTTTTAGGCCTTTTATTATTTCACCTCATCGAGACTATCGGAGGTGCCCTATGCACCTCTCCCTCTGCTTCCATATACCATCAGTCATTCATCACCATGACGTGGCACACATTTTGCAATTACTCCTGCAAAGCGTGACTGGGACGTATGGCGAATTGCAAAGTATCCACTCCCCCAACCAACTCCTGCTCTTACATGACCACGTTTCTCCACCCTCAATTCACGCGCCGAGATTCTGGAATTGTGTACTTGGAGCTCCACCCACTTATCTCCCTATTACGCGCGTACACGTGCTCGATTTTGAGAAATTGTTTAACTGGCCGGCGATTGTTTAACTGGAGTGCTCCTCACTTTGTCACTTAGTATGCGCGTGTTGCTGCGTGCGCGCGCGACCGCGAACGTGTTCGTGTTTGTGCGCGTGTGTGTGCGTGCGTGCGCGTGTTCGTGTTAGTGCACGTGCGTGCGCGTGTGTGCGTGTGTGAGCGCGTGTGTGTGTGTGTGTGTGTGTGTGTGTGTGTGTGTGTGTGTGTGTGTGTGTGTGTGTAGGGGCTCTGTGACACGCACCACTACAACAAAGGAAGAGGTCTCGCGCCCCGCCGCCCATTCATCCCTTTCTCTGGCCAAGTAATTCCCATTGATTCTTATTGAAGGACGAGTCGCGAGCCCCTCGGGGGAGAACTGTGTGATTTGTGAAGGGTCGCAAGGACAAGACACGCCCCTCCTCGAGCCTGGCCATCTGCTCCCCCAAACACCACAACACCAACTACCAAATGGTAACCCCCCACCCCCCCACCCCTTACTCCCCTCATCTCTGTACAAATAATTCAATCTCTTTCAACTCACCTCTCAGAATCCGTGTTTACTGTCTCGTCTATTTTATTTTCCTCCATTTGATTGAATGCATTCTGCACAGGAAGCAACCAGTTGCACGTTGGGCAGATCACAGTGGAGGCATGCAGTGGCAACAGGATGGCCATATGGCTCGTGTGTGCATGTGTGTGTCAATGTGTGTGTGTGCGTGCCAAGAAATGGATGGATGGCTGTCGTGGGAAACCTTGCATCATCGCCATCACACACACTGTTGCAGTTCGCATGGCAGCCTGCAGAAATCAAAGGCCATTAACAAATGACCACGGTGATGATGGACTGTGACTCACCCGAATTGTTCTGATACTTACTTTTGAATGGGTGGGCTGGATATCCTCACAGGATATAGGATTGGGCATACCAGCACAATTTTATGAGATTCAAACCAATCCTTACAAAGGTAATACTGCTCAGTTTTGAATGACATGTTTCAAGAGGTATCAAGCATTATGTTAATTGTTGCGATTTTGTTTGCAGTGGCGTTATACTACATTGAATCATGTCTGTAGTGCCTCTCTGACAGTGACAGTCAAAAGTGAGCAGCACTATCTTTGCTTGAGTGAACGCTGGTGCGTTTGGCTGCTTGTTATTAAATGATGTATTAGATTCGTATGATTGTACCTAATCTCTCAACCGGAGACTGTCCATAGTATAACTGCTTCGGAGTCAGCTCTTGTATTGGACTGTGATCTGCACAACTATAGCAGGACTGCACGTTATTTGCAAAAATGGCAAAGATTTTGAATTTTGAATCCATCAACAGCCCTATGAGATACATAGATAGAAAAATGTATTGCGTAAAATAGGGGTCACCTGCGTGGTGACCACAGCCACCAGGTAGACCCCAAGGATCCTGAGAAGACCAACAGCCTGTTCTCCAAATAGCTTATCAGTGATGGGACATGATGGTGGTTTTCTCTGAATGTTGTGGAGGTGATTATTTAAAAATATTAAAACTAGCAGACATTTCTACAAATTCAGCGGTGTGTATTGATATTTATTTAATTCCTAACTAGTATGAGAAATAATTAAAATGATTAGTCTCCATAAAAATGAATATCATTACTTAATAATAACAATATAACAAATGTAATTTGAGCACTTTCTTTTCTTTCAGAGATGTGTATGTAACTGTCAGTCTTTCGCATTACTCAGTACCCAAGAAGTAGCTCTCAGTTTTAAAAAGGTTGTTGACCCCTGGTGTGAAACAGTGATCTAAACCCACCCCACCTTCCCTTTATTTTTTAAGACGCAAAGACCCCCAGAGCTGCCCTAAACGAATGTACCAACTCAGCCTGTTAATCTAATCTATAGCACGAGTGTGAGGATTGTCAAATCAGGTACGAACTCGGTTCGAGTTTTAGAATTCATCAATTACGTTTTTTGCCTCATTTATAATAAAAAAGAGTGAGGCTGATTTAAAGTAGCTGAAGGCCTAATATTGAATCAAATCCCAGTATTTGTCTTTTTGTGTATGGTTTCATCTTAAAACAAGTTGTATAATTGCACAAGTTTGGAGTATGTGTTTTCAAGTGTAGATACCAGTCTGCTTTTAACGATGGTTTAAAACTCAATGACTGAAACTACAACTCCTGGGAGACATAATTTCACAGTACTGTATAGCCTAGGCTATGATGTTTTATTTGAATCCAAAACAAGCCAAAAGCAAACAAAGCCCCCTGCATTGGGAACAAATCGCACACTCCATTGCTCGCTGAGATCCCTGCTCTGTGGACCCCTGGGGGTCCTTGGCCTTTAGTTTGAGAACCAGTGGCCTCCAGCAGCAGGATTAGCCAGGCCAGCTGCCCAGAGAGACCCCAGGCCTCGGACGCTGACACAAGGCCTGACCCCAGGGTGGCTACTATCAGGGTCCCTGAGGGGGATTTGGACAGCTCTCGGTGTGTATGTATGTGTGTTGTTCATTGAGTTGGACAACTGTTGAGCCAGCGCAGATTTGGGCAGCGGTGGTCTTTGTATGTGTGTGCGTGCTTGTATGGTCAATTCTTTCCGGGGGTTAACTGCTGATCCAGTACAAATGGTGGAAGATGGAGGTGTGGGGGGGTGGGTGGGCTGTCGTGTGTTCCTGGAACATCTGCCTCTGTTTCTTCTGAGTCAAGCTATGGTCAGGAGAGGAGGGTGGGTTGTGGGGGCACACAGAGGGGGGTGAACTGAGGGGTGGCAATGGAAGAGGAGAAAAGGAAGAGTCTGTAGAAGTTGTAGGAGGAGGAAGATGACAACACCCAATGAGAGCTGGCTGTATACATGCCCCCTTCCGCTACTTGTGTTCACCTACACACGAGGGCTTGTGGATACTGGCTCCAAATGAACAGAAAAGTGAAAAAACAATTTGGCTCATCAACAAACTCTACACCTTAGGGATCACCCACCTGTATTTTCTCATCTGACAGGTTTAATTCTTTTTCAGCTATTGTAATGGAGTCTTTTCTGCTGAGCAAATCTTTCTGGAAATTGTATTTGTAATTTTTGCATAACTCAGCAACCGAACAAACAAATAGTATTTTTTTAAGCTTTTACAACATAACACAGTAAACCTTTTGACATTTGGACCCATGGTTGCAAATTGTGACAGAATATTCATTGGTGGTGGTGATGTGCAGATTATTACTGAAATATCAATACCTCCTAACCATTCTTTGATGCTCTAAAATAATTTTGCATTTCAAAATATCATATCATGTCAGTCATCTGTGCTCCTGTTTATCGTTGATAGGAACACAGTGGAAAGCAACTGAACTTGTGAGAGCTTATCTAAATGATACTGCACACGTTTGGTGGGAGCTACTGTTTCTTCTGCCTGAGTAAGTGCGTAACATGAAGGTGACGTGGCATGCTGCTGTGTAACTTAGTCTCTCGGTTTCAGTTTGTAGACACAATGGCAGAGCGTAATCAGAGTCATGTGTGGAGCTATTTCACTTCAACGAGCAGCCAAAATGCAGTTTGTGAAATCAGTGAAAAAAATGTAAGGCGTTGTGGCAATACAATAAACCTTGTGCAACATTTCGGGTTCACACAGAATGCACGGCATTTATAATGAGGCGGACAGATGAGGAGAATGCAGAAACAGGTGCTGCTGCTTCAAGGACAACATGGGGCATCTCTAGCGTAGTCCTTTGGTGCTGCAGGCAGGTACTATCCAGGTGCCGAGGGACAAAATTGAATACTTTAAGCACCCGTGAAGCTTTGCTACTTTTGGAGGTGTTGAAATAAATAAATGTGTTCATTTCTCCTGTGCCATGTAAATCCGCTTCAATTCCAAGCGCCAACTCTCAGTTCCAAATTCGCATCCGTGCTCCACGCCGACACTTTTCTTTCCTCATCCTAAGCTCCAGCAGCCATCCATCCAGCCTCACCAATGCAGACTGTCCAACAGCGCCGACATCTTCGCTAAACAAAACAGGGCTGTGAAAAATGCTGCTCATTACAGGTGCAAAAAACACATGCGTTCCGGGTCTGTCGAGCGGCCAACATCAAATAGCACCGACATCCCTCCCATCAAAATAAGTGCTGGTACACGCGTTCTGTTGAGAGGGCACAACCATCAAGCACAGTTTCTTCTCCTTCGATGAGAGTTGTGGCCAAATGTTTAAAAAGTCCACAACGGGTCCACATGAAGGACAACAAACACCATATGACAAGACAAAAGACAAACACAACAAAAAAAGCCGAACTCCTGAAGATGAAGTGGGACAAACATCTTAACACACCTCTGAACACCAGATTTTTATTTTTCACTTGATATAACAGTTCTACTTTCAACATTAATAACAAGACTGAAAAATTAGAACTGAAGGATGAGTTGAAACCTCATCAGTCTGGATCATCAGCATCTGTTCTGACCCCCTAATGTCCCTCTTTTGTTAAAATGTATTGTTTAAAGTGCAAAGTGTGACTCTTTCTCTCTCAGTCATGTTAATTCTCTTCTTTAGTGTACAGTATTGACATGTCCTGTAGTTTGCGAAACTTGAGCCTCAACAAGAAAAAACCCCAAAACGATACGATATGATTGACACTAAAATGTTTTCACGATATGTCAGCATGGCCTTAACTTTTGAGGGCACACACTGGGGGCAAATTTACAGCTGAGCTCCCCCTTCCTTGAAAATCAGTTGACTGTGAGAGGTGAATTGCCCTCCTAGCCCACTGAGCATCTGGCTGGGGAACGACAGATGCTGACAGCTGGACTGACAGCCAGCATATGCCGCTTTCTTTATTTCTGCTAAGCTCAGACAATAGAACTGAGAGGGCGGGGGTTTATTGTGTGGAGGGTAGAGCTAATAGCTTGTGACTTCAGAAAAGAGTCTCTATTCTCCTGGAGAGCAATTAGTCCGTCTCTCATCCCAGCCTGGAGAGTTTATGGGTGGACTGAGGCCACAGACAGCAGTGGTCCATTCATATTCATGCAACATTGAGACGTTTATACTTTTCAAATTAAATCTACAACATCTACTCTCGATTTCTATTAAATGTGTATCTTTAGATGTGTATGCTATTTTATCTGTGGATTGGCCGCACAAATTCAGATTACACGTTTAAACCGAGTAGTGTTTGCCGCATGCGCGCGCTTCTGACGTGCGCTTTGTTTTGTAGCGTCGTGACGTCACACACGACGCAGGAAGTGAGAGCAAACCAAAACAATCCGGACGCTCTGCTGTCTCACGCGAAATATTTCAAGTAAGTAGCCTGATAAAGGAGATTTAAAATAGTAGCGCCAACAACAAAGAGTGTGTCTTGAGTTACTTTAGAAATGCAAGGTCAGCCAGCGACTGTACCGTAACTAATGAACGTTGAAAAATGGAAGCTAAGCTAATCGTTATCATCAAGGAGAAAGTAATCCTAAAAGTAGCATCTATCTCATTCGGACGTGACGACGTCAACAGATATCAAGTAGACGCTTTCTTTGTGCCACCTAATGAATGTTAGTGTGTGCTCTCTTTCTGTAGAAATGGGAGTGAAAGGTCTCCAATATTTCATGGAGCGCTGCTGTCCAGAATCCTGCGTGACTGTCAATCTGAGAGAGATGGCCAGACAACATGTTTACAAAACAACCGACAACTCTTCCAGCTGTGAGTCTATCTATAAGGCTCATGTATATTTGCAATGTGTCTATAAAGTCACGACACATGTTCACGAAATGTTCAAGACATTTTCAACGTTTTGTTCAATGTGACAGCAAATAAAGTTGATGTGATTTGCCAAATTCAAGTGCATTTGATGTCAAAATCCACATTACTGTCAATTGCTTGTGTCTGTCGGGGCCTTTCTCAAAGGCACCGTAAGATTATAGTAGGAAACAGACGAGCATCTCTCCAACAATTTGTTACAATTTAAAAATGTATCTAAATTCTCATTCAATAAACACTTTTCATGCCAGCAAAAGACTTTAAATCGAGTTGTACATATTAAAGGTCACCTTAATAGTGGAAAAATGATTTATTTTAATAATTTTAACGATGGTTACAGATTACTGTGTGGGTGGAAAGTGAGTCATTTCACGGTACAACAAAATTATCGATGCTGATTTATTAGCACTCAATCATATAGTGATGTAATGGGCAACCAGTACAGAGGTGTGTTGACCACTTTTCTGTTCCATTTCTGCTTCTTTGCTGATCATCATATTTTTGCCATCTCTTGTACTCTTCTGCGGTTGCATCACTTAAAAAACGTACAAAAAAAACCCTTTAAATACTAATTCGGCTGGAGTCTGAAGAGATATGCCAGTTGTCTGAATTTACTATACCTGTGTATGCATTTCTACCCTGAAAATTGTATTCATTTATATTTCCATTTGGTTCAGGTCCCACACTCGTTGTGGATGGCATGGCCTGCCTGTGCCACTGGTACTTGTGTAAAGACTGGGTGTGCGGGGGGCAGTGGAAGGAGTACATGAGCATCCTGAGAAGCTGGGTGGAGACATTCACCTCTGCAGGAATCCGTCTTGTCTTCTTCTTCGATGGCATGGTTGAGGAGAAGAAGAGACCCGTATGGGTGCGGAACACAACCTTGTATAGACAGTATTGTTACCTTAATAGAATTTTCACACCTTGCTATTTCACCTATGTCACTGGTGTCAAATTCAAGGTCCGGGGGCCAGGTGTGGCCCGCCACATCATTTTACGTGGTCCGCGTAAGCAAATCAAAGATGACAACTTCTATGATGCTTGCTAAAATCTGTACCAAAATTTCAAATTTTCATATACAGTATAATTAATCAGGGACATATTGCAAGCAATTTCTTGTTTCCAAACACCTCATTACAGTTACTTAAACAATAATTGAATAACATGTTATTCTTGACCTCTTTATATAGTTACAGCCGTAACGGCCCTCCAAGAGAAACGGTAATTATAATGTGGCTCGTAACAAAAATGAATTTGACACCCCTGATCCATGTGGTGCCTGCTGAAATATGTTCCCTGTTCAATTGGGTTGAAAACTGTTGTTTGATGACTGCTTGCAGGTGAAGCGGCGGCGAAGAGTGAATGGGGAGATATCTAAAATATTCCGTTACATTAAGTTACACGGCGAGCAACCAGGCAAAGATCTCTTCAGTCTGCCATCTGGCTTGGCAACATTCACACGCTTTGCCCTCAGGTTTGCAATGTATGATAATATTATGATAATAATAATAATAATGATGATAATTTTGATTTTTTTTTTTGGCGGGGGAGCAGATCATTAGGTCAGGATGTATTTTGCTCAGTGCAGGAGGCTGACTATGAGATTGCCTGTTATGCCCGACGCCATGGCTGCATGGGCATTTTGGGACAGGACTCAGACTTTGTCATTTTTAACAGGTTGGTTAACTTGAGGCTGTTATTTTTAGTTAAATATGAATGTAATGTATTCATAAGAATATATGTTGTAATATGAAAATGTATACATTGGTTGTTATTCTGTTGTCTCAAACAACCATAGTCTAGCAAAAATGTGTTCTCCTTCACAGACAAATACAAAGATCAAAATGATGCTTTTATGTCAAGCAAATATTTTTCTACTTGTCACAGATGAGAAATATTTTTTCATCTTCATCCATGAGACAAGATGAAAGTATTTCTTTGGGGACTCAGACAAAAGAATAAGAGAAGCGGAAAAATCTAAAAACATTTGGAGAAATGTGTTGATGATATGTGTGATGATATGAATGAATTTCAAAAAAAGCCAGCCGTCAAACCGCATCATTCCGAACACAAAGAAATTGCTTGCAACAATAATGAAAAAAAGATGGTGTGAGACTTTCTTCATTTTCTTTTGAGCCTTGCACAAATTCATCCCTTGTGTCACTGACAAGTCAAATTGACTGTAGAAAATTGAAGAAAATCCACACAAGGTGCCAGATCTAAATGTGTAATTTTTGTTCTTTTTCAAGCGCTCCTTACTTATCAGTGGCAAAACTGCACTTAGACCGCCTCACCACTGTCCTGTATGACCGAGAGATACTTTGCCGTGCCATTGGATTGAATGTTTCTCAGTTACCGCTACTGGCCTGTCTCCTCGGAAATGATGTGGTGCCAGAGGAGTGCATGCAGGCGATCCGGAATAATGCAATGGCCGCATACAGGTGCGAGTCGGGTCCTCTTCATCTGAGATTGTCATCATTAAAATATTAATCTGATAAAAGACACAAAACATGTACCGGTACTTTTTCTCAGGAAGTCGTATGATGCAGCCCACTCTGGTGCTCCTCAAGGGCAAATGGTGTTCGCTGTATCCCAGTTTGTCAGCTCTTTGTGGGGCACAGAGGAGGAAGAGATGGGGCTCATACCTCTGACTCTGAAACTACCAGTTGCAGAGAGAAAGCTCCTGGAAAAAGGAATTTGCTCCTATTTGCTGGCTGCACCGGACGTTCCTCAGCAGGATGCCACACCTCCATTTACCTCTACCTTTGAGAAATATGTCAGTCCAGAAATATTAAAGGTATGTCCGGTACCATGCCATGTGCACATCTATAACTACTTTGCTGAGTCTCACCCATGTTTCCCTCTTTGGTTGTCTCGCTATAGGCTTGTAGAGAAAAGCATGTCTCGGCAGAGGGTTTCATGGTTTACAATGTCCTGTGCGAAGGAGTGATTGAATGTAGTAACAGTCTGGAAGATGAGGAGGATCATGAACTGTTGCCTCAGGCTGTGGTTTTTAAGTCCTCCAGACAACACATCTATGGTCTGCTCCTCCTCAACAAGCACGATGGTAGACACCGAAGACACATAACATATAGAGCAGCTTTGCATTCATGGACTCCCACGTGCAAAGTCGTTCTTAAAACCTTGTGTGTTTTCAGACAGCACAGCGGAACCTCCAGCCATCAGAGAGTGGATTGTCTATCCAGGCAACCCTTTGAATGAGCCCGACATGGTCCCCGCCGTGCCAATCTGCATCCCGTGTACAGTAACTGCAGTCCTCGTGAAAATAGTCATAGCTAATACACTCTTTAAAGACACTGTAAAGTCAATTCAGAGACTTGTTTGTAAATACATAAAACAATTTGAAAGATAATTGCTGAAAACATGCAAAGGCTGAGATCTATGGAGTTCTGAATTGCGGAGATATTGCGTTAAATTGTTTGTCACCTTTTCACTTTACTTGTTTTTTTTTGGTTGGGGGGAGGGCAGGAGAGCTGGCTAAAACAGCACTTAGTGACGCATTTGAGTGAAAAAGGCCTTTCGACGACCTGGTGAAGTATATTCCAGCCACCAAGAACTTCAAGCATTTATATTCTCGTGCCTCAAACGTAGTTATGTGGATGCCTTTCTTCACCATTCTTTAAGTCGTCTGATAGAATTCCCTATCATTAATGCAGCTTTTGCCCCATACATTCAGTGTTTTTGAATCCTCAACCAAACACTTTAATATTTTATCTGTCTGGTTTTGTAGGTGAGCAGCCCAGTCTGGACTTGATGTGGTTCACTTCTGGCCCGGATGTTTCGGCCTTGCGTCTGATGAGCTTTTTTTCAATATTTGACTGCCAGGAGTTTGCCGAATTGCATGGAGTCATTGAAGACTTTCTTCTGGCTGCTCTTTGTCTGGTCACCTATATTGTCCTCCAGGTACTACCGAGTAGAAGAGTTTACTAATTTTATGGTAGTTATGTTTTAAAGCCAAATGTACTTTGGTTAAAAAGTGAAGATATAACACCAGAACAGACTTTTTGTTTTGGATATGATCGTCTGTTCTTTTGCTAACATGTGATGTGATGTTAAACAGTTCTCGTTAATAGCGTGTTTGGCTACTTGGCCGCAATTATCACCCAGAGTGACCAGTTTAGCTTGAGAAACGTCAACAGCAGCTGAGATAACCACCTAAGAACTTCATTCTTTCATTCACCTCACCCACATTGTTTCTTTATAATGGTTTCGAGTGTTAGCCTTTTTCATTTACGTTTGTTTGGCGTCACCAGTAGGCCACCAAAGATGAGATTTTGAATTGCTTTTTAATGAAATACAATTTATTACAACTTTGCCCTAAAACTAATTTTGTGTTAACAAGAAAGCAATACTTTGTTTGTCAAGAGGAATATCCAGTTTATATTTTTTTTTCCTCACCATTTCACAAACAGTTCGGTCCCGAAGTATTTCGACAATGTCTGTGTTGATTTTTCCTTTATGGCGGCACCACAATATCAAGATGATTTTCAACTATAAATGATGATTTACAGGTTTTCCGAAAATTTATCATTGAGTAATTCCAACCATTTTATGTCGCCTCAAGTAATAGGCTCAAATGTTTTTGGGTTCATCACATAACCACATAAAAATACATGTTCTATGGTGAAGGTTATGTCAACTGTCATGCCATGTGGACGTACGGCTTCCATGCCTTGCTTCTGGGCACCTGCTCTCACTGTCCATATTAGTCGCTGCTGTTTTTCTGGGTTCCAGGTAGATTTTTGACACAACTCTCAGATGTTTGCTTTTGCGACTGTGATTGAACTGGTCTAAAAATCAACAACAACAAAAAACATCACAACAGACAGGCAGCTTGTTTGAGGGTCTGTTAGACGAGTAGACAAGCAAAGATGAGCGGACGGGCCAACAGACAACAGTGGCTGTTGTTGTCTGAGGGCCGCTGGATTCACATTCGCTCACCCCTCGTCTGTTTGAATAGCTTCGGGGTTTGTTTGTTTTGAACACACACACACACACACACACACACACACACACACACACACACACACACACACACACACACACACACACACACACACACACACACACTGGCTGCTTTCTTTGCTGCATTCAGGATTGTTACTTTCCCTTGTGAGGACAGACCAAACAAACCGACCCACTCAGAAGACACACCGGGATGCGATTGAATTTGAAAGCCATTTCTTTTTTGTACGTCACCATATATTTCTCCATCTTACTATCGGTCTCTTTGTAGGTACCATCTTTATGTTCAGAGGATGTGGATGCTTACCTGAGTCAAGCTGTGTGTCTGAGGCTCAGATCTCTGCAAGAGCTTCAACATATCAAGGTCAGCAAAGTAGTCGCTTATTTGAACTCGTTCAATATGTGATGCGTTTTCCTATGTATGAGAACAATGGCCCTTGTATACTTTACAGTAAACACGCTTCTAGTCAGGGAAAATGAAAAGGGGAAAAAAATGTAGAGAAAACCCAAATAGGCTCTTGAATGGGGATCTCGTCGAGAAAACAAACAGCGCAATTAGAAGTGAGCTTGTTATGTAAATGGTGTTGTTTGTATTTTGTGTTTTTCTTTTTTTTTCCTGAGTGTTAATCGTCTCTGTATCTGTCTGCTATTACACACAGCTCCTACTTTGAAATGCAGTTCTTGTTCATTATTGACTATGTACGTGATATTTTAAGTGCCATTGTCAATCAAAACTGAGTATTATTTTTGCAAAGACAGAATCTTCAATGGGGCTTTTGTCATCAATGGCAAATTGTTCAGCTGTAACTACTGTAGAGACCAGTGCGTGTACCTCACAAGTTTGACCTCTCACAAGCCTGATGTTGCTGTCATCAGGCTGGGAGCAATCCTTCCTGTTGACTTTCTTAAAAAAGCTAATGTGAGATTTAAAATCACTCAATATATAACGTCTGTGGTTTGGTCCGCATCCGTTGTTTAAATTACAATTATTTACAGTTGTTTTAAAAAGTCACGATTCTCGCCAGAGAAGGACCTTAAAGTGTCTTACCAGCTGTTCCTAAAACCAGTCGCTGCCTTGTTTTTGACCCTTTTATTTTCCCTGCTTAATTACCGTACTTATTTTGTGTTTTGACTCTTCGTCTTTTGGCTACACAGTAATTAGGGCAATGTCTTGTATTTAATAGGTGATCTCTGGGAAAGGTTGGAGGCTCTTGGGAGGGCGTGGGCCTGAAAATGATCAGTATAGATTCACCACTAAGCAGGCACAGACAAAAAGAAGAATAGGCTTGCATATGGCTCGCCATTGTTGCACATTTGAGTGTGTGTGTCCATCATTATATCTGTCTGTCTGTGTTTGCACATTCTACTTGGAAATGTATATTTAGAGAAGTCACTATCATGTTGTGTATGTTCACATTAATGTAAAATGAAACCAGCCATTTGTGTTTGTTTCGAAAGGAAAGAGGTTGCGGTTAGGTTTTGGGATGCCTTGTTTTCTTGCAGCATTCCGCCCCATGGAGTTGCCTGTGCGTGTGTGTGTGTGTGTGTGTGTGTGCGTGTGTGTGTGTGTGTGTGTGTGTGTGTGTGTGTGTGTGTGTGTGTGTGTGTGTGTGTGTGTGCGCGCGCATGTGCGTGCGTGTGTGTGTGAGAAAGACGGAAAGAGTGTTCTGGCGACAGTCACCCGTCTGTCCTGGCTGACGCTCACCACATGTATCTATTTACGTCAAACACACACACACACACACACACACACACCTCAATGAACAGCCTATATACACATGCACAGTTTTCTGTCTTTTGTCCTACTTTGTGTTCTCATATTCTTATTCTTTGTTCCTCTTTCAGTCTTCTTTTCCTTCTTTGTGTCAGTTTGTTTGTGCGCTTCAGGCTTTTTCTGCGTCTGTCCAATGCTTCATTGTTTTCGGTGTGTGAAGCTGTGTTTGACTGGAAGCAGGTGACAGGCAGGGCTGCGCAAGTGTGTGTGTGAGTGTGTGTGTGTGTGTGTGTGTGTGTGTGTGTGTGTGCGCGTGCACGCACTCGTGTGTGTATATAATCACAGCTATCAGCGCTATCTGCCAAGTGACAGGTGACAGCATAAAATGTGCACACAGTGAACATCTGCCTGCTGTCATTGACTCTTTCCAACATAATGCAATAAGCACTCTGTAGTAACATTGGAAATTGTAGCTAGTCTTGAACTGGATTTATAATGATATCATAGATAGTGTAACTTGGGTGTTTTTGCAGCTTTCGCGATTTTTGACCTCGAGTAAAAGTATAGGAAATGTGTTCTGTGCGGTGATACTAAGGCACATATTCATTTTGTATCTTCAGATTCTATTTACTGGGATTAATGTCAGTCATATCAATTTAAAAAGCAGATTTTGGCCTATGTCAGGGTAAAAAAAAATTTTACATAGTGTCACAGGTCCTCACTTGGAAAAAAAAAAGTTTACCAAATAAAAAGAATATTTGACATTGTTGTTTCTGAACACCACTACTGTCATCAATTAAAAACTTTTGAAGAGGATAAGCATTTACAGATGTTTTTTTTTTCTACTTTCCAAAATTGTGTTTATGTTTTAAAGTGATAAAGAAAAACAATGATTGATTCTTTTCCAATTCAGGAAAAGAGAGCATAACTGCTTAAAATGAATTATCCACTTTTCCTAACTTAGGTTTGGAACTTTGTTTGTGGTCTGTTGCTGCCAAAAATAATTACAGGTAACATATCTGCCTTCTTGTCATAAATGTTGGTCAGAAGAAAGCAATCAATTTTATCTGTGGTTCTATTGTTCTTGTTTTGATTGTAAAGTGTCGTTGAGTGTTTTGAAAGGCGCTTATAAATGTAATGTATTATTATTATTATTAATCCTTAAGGTAGATTAATGGTTGCATCAAGGCACCTTTTCGAACGGCGTTTCCTCAAAGTACTTCCTGGTCATCGCTCTTGGATAAAAAAAGAAAGGAAAGTACCGAAGCAAAATCCACAATCCCAAAAAGACGATTGTCCTCGACTGAGCTGTCTGCTGAAAGAATGAAAAGTGACGTGGTGCAAACTCATGCTACTTCTTGTCCAAGTGCCGCAACAGATGATCAAACAAAGCATCAGACTGTGTGTGATGTGTGTGACCAAGCCAACATAATTCCAAAGTTCTTTTTTTTTTTCCTCAGCTGCCATTCCTCTGCAGCCGAGCAGTCCAACTGGGCTCTCTCTACGTCCGAGGACTGAGCTACATGCTGGGGGCCAACTGTGCCAGTGGCTGCCCATTGCCCAACGCTGCCCTCATGCCTTGGCAGAGCTTCGATGGACAGCTCTTCCACTCGAAATACCTGCTGGCGCATAGCCGCACTGAGCAAGCAGTGCTGCTGGATAAGCATGTGAGTGGGAACAGGGAGCCCAACAGTTTAAATACACTCTGTTTCATGAGGTACACCTGCACGGTCGAAAGACATCCAGGGCTCAAAATTCCCTCTTTACAAAATATATGCCCGGATTTGATTGTCAGTTCTAATTGACTCCATTCCTCTGCAAACATGGACAGGATAAGCAGTATCGAAAATAAAAGGAAGGGCAACTGGGCAGCCTGGCGAGGTTGTGGTTAGCATGTCTGCCTCCCAGTCGAGAGGTCCAGAGTTTGCATGTTCTGCCCATACATGTTTTAAATTTTCTCCGTGCACTCTTGCTTCCGCCAACTTGCAATTCAGGTTAGGTTCACTAATGACTTTTATTTTGTGTGATAAATTAAAGTGGAATGTAAGAGGAGGTCACACTTAATACAGTTGGGCCAACTTTAGCCTATTATGATTTTTCTTTTGGTTTTCTTATTTTTATTGTTTTTAGATAGCAAAGCCAGTGGTGTTGCTGATAGCAAAAGTTCTAATGATGACCCAAGACTTAAACAATTCGTGAATTTAAATTACAATGCACTGTTTGCATCTTTATGGAAACAGCTGTCTCCCCTTGAAACTACAACCACAACAAAAGACATGTTCAACAAAATTTTTGACATATATCTTCACATGGATTTCTTTAGATTGTTTGGATGTGTTCAGTGATGCGTCCATGTGTGTGTACGTATCAGTTTTAAGGAAAATGATGTCACAAGTCAGGCCCGATTAACAGCAATGTCTTTTTGTTATTGTCTGCTCCCTTTCCAGCCGTCCAGTCTTGCCTTGTTTCTCCAGCTGAGAGAGAAACATTTAGAAGTTTGCAAGAAGAGAAACAGAGTCTTGCAGTCTCAATCCAAAGTTAACGTGCTCGGACAAAGCCATAGGCCCCAATACAGAGATGGACGCACAGGTGACTATAAGTGACATATTTCACATATTTTCTCCTCTATATTTTGTCATTCATCAATTTTCTCTTTCTGAAACATACTTGCTCTGTGTTCGTTTCAGTTTTATTACTACGCAGTTTAAGTTAAGACTGAATTTTGTCGCTCAAATACTGGGCGCACTTGTCAAGAGTCTCATATCAACTGTGCATTTAGTTCCATGTTTTGATTTTGCAAAGACCTCACATTTGAGAATAGTTTGAACAATGCACACCGGGGCTGAAAATACTCATGGTGCCAAATGGAGAAACAGCATATTAATCTGACCATTGATCAATGGTTGTAGTTCTCTGGTAGCCCTCAGTGAACCACATTACCCAGAGGGCCGTGCTGTAACCAGCTCCATGTGTGCTGTGGTCTTTTACACACGCACGCACGCACACGGCTGCAAGCACATGTGCACGCCTGAATCCAACACTTGCTTTGTCAGTACACTAGTAATAGCATGTTTCTGTTTATAGGCTGGGAGCACTCTATTTTAAGACACACAACAACAATGATTACAGGCTTTTCTTTACGTCTCAAAACCCCCCATCAGCCCCCACTCGGCTCTCGGCTCCCCTTTACCTCACTTGTTCCCATACGATGATCCTTTTATCTTCTCTGTCCTGTCTTTACCTCATTTCCCGCAGCATTTTCACACCTTACCATCTTTTACCTCCTGTCTGTATAATTAAAAAAAAAAAAACAGCTTTATGAACAACAGGGAAGAAACACAGGACAGTTTTAACACCCCAAAATGAAAAAAACCTATCTTGGCAGCTTGTTTATTCCCTCCAATTGTTCATCACGCTGTATATGTACAGTGCTCAACATAGATGATTAGTAAGTAAACTTTAAATCAATTTCTCAGTGAACACAAGAACGTTGCTTAGAATTTTACTGATGAGCAGCTTCAGCTTTGGTAGACTTCTTATGAATAAGATTTTTTTTTTTTAATCTAACGTTGAGTGATGCTAGACTCAGCCTCAGTGGGATACTCATTGTTGTCACATAAATTACATTTTTGTAAAAGTATTGTCTGTGTATTGACAAACTGTGCATTACAGGTATAGTTCCCTAAGGAAAATCAATCACAAAATTCATTTTGAAAAGTTTTAGAAAAACGAAACAGTTCTCAACAATAAGGAGAGAAAAAGTTGTCACTTTTTCTTGTAATCCCGCCGCTCCAAAATGCACTTTACTCCGCCTACAGCTCAAATGAAGCTCGAATGAAACTGCAAGTCGGAAAAGAAATGGAAAACTTCCACAATTCAAATAAACCTCTGACCAGTGTTGAGTACACAAAAACTATTTCCAGTCAAAGTTTTGACGCGAAACACCACTGAAATGTTGATTGAAATGCTCGTCTTTACGTCAGTGAAGTAATTGGCCTTTCAAAGAACTTATGTTTGTTGTCCAAAAAAAACAAAAATACCTATTATTATGAATAGACTTGAACTCTCCGCCACTTGCTGGTCAGTCATCGGGCACGAGTCAGCAGCAGCCTTGTGAAATATGAACCCGTTGTTTTCATGCAACTCCTGTGACTTTTGGTGAATGCTTTTTTTTCTTTTTTTTTTTCTTTTTTTTTTAAAGCAGCAGCTTGTGCCAAGTTGGTTTACCCCAAACTGTCTGCTCTTTACTCAAGTCAAGCTCTGTGGGTCTCAGGAGGATGCATAAGATGGAGGGCTGTGCCCTTGCACTTCCCATCATTATTTCAGACGTGTGTGTGTGTGTGTGTGTGTGTGTGTGTGTGTGTGTGTGTGTGTGTGTGTGTGCGTGCGTGTTTGTGTACACACGCGTGCGAGTTGTGCTGTCGCTTTGTGGTGCCATACCAGGCCTAGCTTGGTTTGTGTTTGTAATCAGGCCCAATTTAGCTCAGCAAATATCTCTCTCCATCCTAAATCTCTCTTTAACCATGAATCTACTTTCCTCTCCCTTTTTTTCCCTATAAGGACAAACTGACATCCATGGTTGTTTTCAGAGTAACTACTCTGCATCCACGCATCTTGAGTCTCATTTAACAGCCTTAAATTTATAGCAAGCCGTTTGTGATCCTTTCGCTTCCAACTTCCCAAAAGATGTTTTCCCTTTTTTGTACATTTCATCCAGGCTCAATCATAGGTCACTGATATTGTCGCTATCTCTCTCCTTGTTCATTTCAGATGAATATGAACGACATTTTTGCTATAATTATAGTTATCCATCCATTTTCCGATACGCTTTATCCTCACAAGGGTCGCGGGGGGTCCTGGAGCCTATCTCTGCTGTCTTCGGGCAGTAGGCAGAGGACACCCTGGACCGATTGCCAGCCAATCGCAGGGCACACAGTGACGAACAACCATCCACGCTCACACTCATACCTTGGGACAATTTAGAGTGTTCCATTAACCTGCCATGCATGTTTTTGGAATGTGTGAGTAAACCGGAGTACCCGGGGAAAACCCATGCAGGCACGGGGAGAACATGCAAACTCCACACAGGAACGCCA